ATAATGTACGAAATGTGTAAGATAATTAAATTAAAAAATTTTATTTTTTAGCTTTCTTTATTCGACCATTTTACAAAATGATGTTGGGTAAACCAATTGATCTGAAGGATATGGAGAGCGTTGATTCTGAATATTACAACTCGCTTTTATGGATTAAAGAAAATGATCCTAGTGAATTAGAACTCACTTTCAGTCTTGATGAAGAAAGCTTTGGTCATACATCCCAAAGAGACTTAAAGCCAGATGGTGCTAATATTCCTTTGACCGACGAAAATAAGGATGAATATATAAGTTTAGTTATACAATGGCGGTTTGTATCTCGCGTACAGGAACAAATGAATGCCTTCCTGGAAGGTTTTAATGCTCTTATACCACCAACATTAGTAAAAATATTTGATGAACATGAACTGGAATTGTTAATGTGTGGTATACAGCATATTGATGTGAAAGACTGGAAACAAAATACTTTATATAAAGGAGACTATCACGCAAACCACATTGTTGTACAATGGTTTTGGAGAGTCGTTTTGTCATTCAGTAATGAAATGCGTTCTAGATTATTACAGTTTGTAACTGGTACATCACGTGTTCCAATGAATGGATTCAAAGAACTTTATGGAAGTAATGGACCGCAATTATTTACAATTGAGAGGTGGGGTACACCAGAAAATTATCCAAGAGCTCATACTTGGTGAGTTTTTATTTTATAAAGGTATTGCATTTGCTAAAATTTTTTTAATTTACTTCAAACTTTATATATATTTTGTCTATTTTATATATTATATTTTTTAAAAACAAATAAAATATGATTATTTACCAGTTTCGTTTATTATTATCGATGAAATTTTTTTCATGTAAATGTGTTGTTATACAATAACATAAATTGTTCCAGTTTTAATCGTATTGACCTTCCTCCGTATAAAAATTATCAACAACTCAGGGATAAGCTAGTTAAAGCAATTGAAGGTTCTCAAGGCTTTGCTGGAGTCGACTAGCACGAAATACCTTTGTTCATGATGATATCTGTAATATAATAATGTATATATTACATATACCTTATAGAGGTACACAGAAAAATATATTATCTTAATACGATTATCTATTTAAAAATTTCTGCACTTTAATGATTTTGTTGTCTCAATTAAGAGCAACAGCATTATAAAATATATTAAAAATAATATGTTCAAAAGTTAAATTGCTTAGTTTTTCTAAATAACTTTCGATAAGTCTTTCAATAAGTCTTTCAGCATATGCTACGCTTTGAAAATACTTATTATAATGAAAAATATTTACATAACTGAAGTAGACTGTTAAAACTTGCAGTCACACATTAACTAATCCAATTTTAAAGACATGTCATATTCTTACTATTGCAATTATGGGATTTTCTAGGAGAAGTGATTTGGCTGCTATAACAATGTGATATTATGATATTGATGTATTATTTGATTCTTTTTTCTTTGTTAATAATATTAGAATGTTATGAAATATAATTTGTGCAATAGTTGTATATGATAAAATTATGACAAATTGTTTCAAAATGACGTGTTATCCTAAAACTTAAAAATTCTGAGCACATAGATATATTATTCTTTTTTTATTTTTAAATCACAAGATATTATATAATGCTATTTTGTTGTCAATAAACTCAATTTTTGAAATTTATATTTATATACAAATTTTGGCAAAGAGAATTATACTTTCTTAACTTTCTTGTTAATTAAAAGATTTATTCTATAACTTTTTATATTGTTTACTCGAAATAATTAATAGTTTTATAAAAAGTTGTTTTTCTAATCAATCAAACTTTTTTGATATTGTAAATATGGATTATATACATCATAATTTTAATTATATTTTTATGGCATCCCAAACTATGCTTCTCTTTTTCAATTTTAACAGAATGTAAATTTTTAATTTGCTTAATATGTAAAGCTGTTTATATCTTTTGTTGAAGGCCAAATAAAAAAAGCTTGTCGTATATATTTTACACACACACACACACACACACGCACGCACGCACGCACGCGCGCACGCGCACACACAGTGTGTGTGTGTGTGTGTGTGTGTGTATGTGTGTTATAAAATACATATTTTCTTTATATACGTTGTTCCTTTTATGATTATGAAATAATAAAAGATAACATTATACATAAATCGTATTGTTCAAGAATGTATAGTCTTATAATGTACAGAAGAATATAAACAGTTTTATAAACAGTTATTATGTTATTAGAAGAAAAAGCAAGAAAAACCAAAGCTAATATTGTAACGATTTTATTTCAAAATTTTTATTTTATTTTGTGCTAAATAATATGAAATGAAATTATGTAGAATAAGTTATTAGATGAAAATTTATATTTTACATCATATTAATATATAAAGTAAAATACGCAAAATTTTATAAGCATACTAATAAATTTACTTATAAAAAGATATATTGAATTAACAAATTGAATTAATTGGTTGCAAGTGATATCATTAATAATACCTTGCTTGTTCTTCTGAGTTGATAATGACTTGAGGATATACGTTGCATTTAGGAAGTATAATTGTATACAGAAAATGAAATTGATTGTTTTTCAAAAATTTAAATCGTTGTGTATATTTTGTCAATATTCAGATGCAACAAAACTCAATAGTTTCGCATAGTCTCGAAAATAATTTAAATATTGCTCCTTGTTAATAATCGAAAATGATGAAATTAGTATCAGATATGAATGCCTATCTTATATTATAACATTTATTCACAGAATTAACATACATTCTGAAGGATACGGAGTTAATATAACATTCCATCCTTTTTGTACAGTTTATTTTATTGTAAACAAGTACGTCCCGTTAGATAATAAATAATATTGTCATGACAGAAATTTTGTGGCCTTAAATTCTGGTTATGAAATTTCTTATTTTAATAAGTCTCTCGTTCGTAAAATCTAGATTTGTATAATAGTAAAGTGCGTAAATAATTATTCGTTAAACGAATATCATTTGCTATTTCTTCATCTTCATATTAGATTTGCAGAGTGATATATAAGCTTATATGTAACATGTTAGTATTTCCTAGCTTGGGAGATGACAAGTTGTATCCAGTGTAATCTAATATGTTATGAAGTGCGTTTAAGACCCTAAGCTCATTAATGGAGCAATGAACAACCAGCGCGCAATCTAATCTTCATAAATTAAAGTTAAGATCGGATAAAGAGGAAGATTGTTATTATGCATGTACAATGCAGTGTTCTCTGAGTCTATCTTTCAAAACTGATGATTTTATATTAATACTTAAAATCTATTCTTTCTTTATAATATGATCGTATCAAAGATTGGTTCACTTAATTTATTTCAAAATATGACAAGCACGCATGTATGCGTTCGTTTAATGTACAATATACATATCATACACGAATTTCATGATTTGCAAATAGTATGGTGAAACATAAGTAGTACATGTAATTAACATTAGATGGACTTATAGAATATTGTCATAATGTAATGCAGACGATGCGAGAGACACGTAAATTTTTGTATTCAAGTTTGAGTATGTTCTATTATAGCTTCTTGTATTATATTCTTATATAAAAAAAAAATCATAAATACGAAAAAGCAGTATATGAACGATAAGATATCTAATGAATTTAATAATCGCGTTTGGTATCCTATATATGACATAAACATTTTTACAGACAGACACAGTGTTAAAATTGTATTTATTTATAAATCGACGATATCAAAAAGAAGATTGAAATGTAGGTATTATCAGATAGATAATTCTATTTGAAAATAACCGCATTTATGCTTGATCTATATAAATATGACCCGTAAAACTTAATGCCTTACGATAATTATATCACGCATTAGAATATATCTACTTAATATTTGCATTATTATTTACTGATGTACGTTGACTTTATTATCGCGTCAGGTAGCTATTGTTTGACAGTATATACTTTAAGTGTCTTTATCTATATGTCTATACTTTCACTACCAATGCCTTATTTAATTTAGGACGGAAGGAGACTTAATTGTTTTAAGCTAGCTCAATGTGGTATACAACATATTTTATTTACATATACTTACATGCACGAACTGAAAGAAATGCGTGACTTAATTACGTTGTATTCGTGTAAATATAAATAAAAGAATACGTTGTAATATATTATAAAAAAAAAATGAGCGCTTCTATATCGCAGTTGCAACAAGGAGTACATAAAAGATATGCTTACCGTGCTATGTCTTTGCGTTACGATTATTAATTACTAACGAATACGGTGGAGTTTTCAATCATGAAAAAAATTTTAAGTATTAATATTATATTTAATGAAATTAATATTACAAGGCGAATTATGTTCTTATATAATATATATTGTGGAAAACCATACTATATATGCAAATAAATTATATTAAAAAGTTGCACATCACGTAATTCTTAATATCCACATAAATGATACAATAGAGATGCTTTTAGATCTTTTGATCTTGTAGATTTGTCGTTTTTATGTTATTGAATACATCTCAAAGCATCAAAAAATGTATTGACAGAAAAATCAAAGTATTATTTTTATCTTATGAATTGTTTGATCATTATTAAATCTAATGAGATACTCAATAAGTTATTTTTTACAAATTTTACATGTAATTAATAAGATTATAATTTGCAGATTTTTTTTAAGATAATAGATTGGATTTATGAAATATTTTATCGGCTATGATATACTTTTATTATAATTGTTTTATTATAATAAAAATATATCAATTTTATAATAATGTTTTATATTCCTTGATTTCCATTCTTCAGAAGAAATTTAGATTCTATATACCGAAGCAACAAATCGTTAAATTAATTAGTTCAGAGGATCTATTGTGTATTTTGATATAAAATAAAAATTACAAAGTGAGCAAATTCACTAAGTGTTAACAAATGAAATGATAAATATTCCAATGAATTTGTTTTTCTTTTCATTCTATCGGTTTATTTCAGATTTCCAAGTGCCATCCAGATATCACTTTATTCTTATTGCTGACCGAATGTTAAACAAAGTTAAAATGATACCCAGGAAGCACTCGAGTGGGAATCTGGACCCTGATTTTAAATGAACCAGCAATCCGATGATTCCCGTCATCGTTCCTGATCAGCGTTCGAATTTCCCGCTCGACGCCGCGCCATCGAGTACGCCCACGCGCCGCGAGATGGCCCTAGTCGCGGGCACATCCGCAGAATCAAAAAAGACAGTTGGGAAGTGTAACATCACACATCGATTCGGCGGCCCGCGTCGAGCCCGAAAAAAAACTTTCCTCTTCCGCGTTCCTTGGGCCCGAACCGTGTGCGGTCGCGACGAAACCGTTTAGCCCCGCATCTAACATTGACGCGCGCGTACGCGTGTGGTGAGGTGAATATAAGTGACTCCGAACGACGTGAATATAAAGCGCGTTGCGCCGATGGAAACGTGACTGTCCCCTCGGTTGTATGCGGTGGTTCCTGTCACGGGTAGCGACAGTGGTAGCGGGTAGCAGCCCTCTCGTTCAACCCCTGTCTTCCGAGAGCCACGTCGCCGACATCGAGGGAGGGAAACTCGGCGTTCCGATAACGACCGCGGTGGAGGTCACTGCATTGCGGTGAGTACGTCGAACTCTGTATACACTTTGGCTTTCCGTACGACGTTTTTGTAAGTACGACACAGCACGCCTCGTCAACGACGGAATCCCGCTCCACGAAATCCTTTTCGCCACCCTCGCATCATACAAGTAAACCCCGTCGACCGGCCGTCAAGGGTTCATTACCCCCTCGGCAACGAGTACACACACGACGCGGCGTCGCGCTCGGTCGCCGTGACGAGCTTTCCGCCCCGCCGTGTCCATTGAAGATCCCCAAATCCCTTGCCGATCTCGTAATAGGATCCTCGCGAAATTTTTGAATGCCCCGCGATGAGAAATTAGCCGGGAGAAGTTGGTCGCTTAAAGCGACGTTCGCGAGCATGGATTTAAATGCTGCGTACCGGTCACCATCGGGATGCTTCTGACATTCGCCGCAATTTCTCTCGTGATCGATTGACGTTTTGAGTTTCGGAGTTTCGT